AGGAGATCAGATAAAGGAAAGAATATACTACACCAGGTGTATAACTCAACATGCCTAAGTGTGTGCATAACTGTCTGGAATCAGAGAATACATAATGGAAGGGAGGCATTTGAACATGAAGACAACATTCTTTAAAAAATAACAAATGTGAAAAAGATTTAAAACATTATAAATTCAAACATACAAAAATGTACACGATACAGAAATAAGTAGTCTTAGCATTTTAGTATGCTAATGCTCCAGGCTTTTCTTGAGATATACTTGTTTCTTATTTCTTGAGAAAAATATTGACATATATGCCTGTTTCTTTCTCTTCCCTTCTCCTATCTCCCCTCCCTCCCTCTTCTCTCTTCCTCTTTGTTAAAGAATCTGAGATCAGAAGTTCCCACATTTCTTTTTTTTGTTTTTGAGATGGAGTCTTGTTCCATAACCCACGCTGGAGTGCAGTGGCATGACATTGGCTCACTGCAACCTCTGCCTCCCAGGTTCAAGCGATTCTTCTGCCTTAGCCTCCCGACTAGCTGGGATTACAGGCGCCTGCCACCACGCCTGGCTAATTTTTGTATTTTTAGTAGAGACAACGTTTTGCCATGTTGGCCAGGCTGGTCTCAAACTCCTGACCTCAGGTGATCCACCTGCTTTGGCCTCCCAATGTGCTGGGATTACAGGCATGAGCCACCACACCTGGCCTGAGTTCCCACATTTCTTACACAGTATGTATACATATACTGTGTATATATTACATGGTTTTAAATTTTAAACAAAACTAGATCTTAAGCATTTTTATAAAATTTAATTTTTAAAAATCAGTCACGTCAGTGCACACTTTATTCTTTTGAATGAATGTAATATTCCATACACTGATATAATAGAATGTATTTCTCCATGAAGGACTATCATGAATAATGCTAAGCAAATACACTTGGACATTTGGGTCAGTATTTGTCTAAGACAGTTATTTACAGAGGAAATCACCAGATCAAAAGGAATGCATATTTTAAATTTTGATTATTACTGGCAAATTGTCCTCTAAAAAGGCTCTATCAATTTCCGCTTCCACCAAAGCACATGGGGCATATCATTTTCTACCATACTGGCCAATGCTAGGCAATAGACAACATTAACATATTTTTGCCATGTTGACAGACACAAATAGTATAATATTTTAATTTCATTTATCTGATCACTAGTGAGGCCAACACAGAGTATATGACATCAGAAATCGTAGACAGGGGAGGTAACTATAATTATAGACAGAAGATTGCAGAGAAATGTGAAAGTAAAAGTATATCTTGAGACCAACAAATGATTTAATCTGGTTAAAATACCAGAAAGGTAAAGGCCATGATGAGGTTGTGAAAGGTGAATACCCACTTTTGCCAACTTAAGGGTGCAACTAGACTTTTTCCTACAGTTTATAAAATTACCGTGAGGATTTTTTTAAGGAAAGCAGTGACATTAAAACCATGTTTCAGAAAATTTAGGAGCCATGTGTAAACTTTTACAGAAAAAAACAGCAGGGACATCAACCAGAGGCTAGGATTTGGCCAGAGATGATGAGAACATAAACTAGAGCAAGAGACTTAGGAAAGGAGAAGAGATGCATTAGAAATACATTATTTACAGAGCCAAGATGAAGAAAACTGGTGGGTAACTACCTAACAAAGGAGTAATCATATTGATGGTTGAAGAAAAAGCTCTTCACCAACCAACCTGATGACTACATATAATGAATAAAACTGCCAGGAAATGTGCCCAAAAACATATGATGCAAGAAAAACACAATAGATGAATCATCTTAAAAACTCGAATCAAAATAAGAAAACATATTTCTTGGGTACCTGAGAGGTCACTGCTTTCAATTCGCCGGAGATCTGAATCGGCCCAAAAGAGCTTGCCCAGCCTGCTATCAAGGGCTAAAGCAATTGGTTTACTTAAGCCACTGAAAAAGAGGACCTCCCGTTCTGTCCCATCCAAAGCAGCCCGTTCAATTTTAGGAGACCTTTCCTGAAGATTGGTAAAATACATATACCTAGAGAGAAAGGAGGAAAAAATGAGTTACTGGAGTAAGAAAACATAAAACAAGAATATTCTTATTAAGACAAATAGATGTAGAATATTTTTAAATGTTTTAAAATATGTAATTTTGGCCAGGCACAGTGGCTCATGCCTATAATCTCAGCACTTTGGAAGGCCAAGGCAGGGGGATTGCTTAAGCTTATGAGTTAGAGACCAGCCTGGACAACATGGCAAAACCCCATTTCTACAAAAAAATACCACAAAAATTAGCCAGGCGTGGTGGCGTGTGCCTGCAGTCCCAGCTATTCGGAAGGCTGAGGTGGGAGGATCACTTGAACCCAGGAGGCAGAGGTTGCAGTGAGCTGAGATTGTTGTCACTGCACTCTAGCCTGGGTGATAGAGCCAGACCTTGTATTGAAAAATATATAAATATATATAAATACTTATTTATATATATTTATATATTTATATATATTTATATATTTTCATTTTCAAAAGGTCATGGGATACTTTTACTACTTTTAATAGTAGCAACAAAGGTACACAGAAGTTATTAGGAAGCTTTCATAGATTAATAGAATAGTGTTAGACATAGGCATACATATGTTTTCAGAATAACGCAATGAATTAAAGATCACTGACTAGAGACACCTAAACACAAAAGTTTAAATTCTCTAACTAATCTATTTAATAACTAAAAAGAAGTCATATATAAATAAGTTCTTATATTTAACTTCTAACTTTCATCATTTTCCTCTAACTCTTTTGAAGTAAGCATTTTCCTTGCTGAATACCTTATCATTCACTCAGATACAACTGAGCGCTGAGTATTTATTAAATGCAAAGCTCTGTATTAAATGAACGAAAACAGATTAGTCCTCATCATAAAGAAAACATGTCTAGTGGTAAATACAAGACTAAAAAATAATTAAATGTAAGGTAAATTGGAAAGGACTAAGTATAGCTTAGGCATAGATACAGAGTGCTAAGTATTCAGGAGGGGGGAAAAATCACAGCTGTCTGGGATGAGGTAGATCAAAGAAAACTTCCTGGAGGATGTAGCAGTTGAAATGGTCCTGAAGGCATAGGTAAGACTTAGAATTAAACCAATGGTGGCCCAGGAAAGAAAGTCTGGGCAGTGAAATCAGAGAAAGTACAAGAAAATTGTTAAGATAATGCAGAGACAAAAGGACAGAGAAGACTGACACTTAAAGGTAAATAAGTAATGGCTGAAAAAGAAGGATGAGGCAGGTCTCAGAAGCCACAGTATCTGAAAGCCACTTTAGTAACATACCCTTTCTCTGGGTTTACCACAATGGCTCGAGGTCTGTCCTGCTCGCCTTTTAGCACCACTCCAATTGATCTCCCATCTAATCTTGTCACATTAATGACATTGGCAGCCTCACAAGTCCAGTAGATATAGCGGCTATAAATATCAATGCTGAGGTCATAAGGTTGTATGTCCAGGTTCTGACTCGGAACAGAGCTCACAACCACAGTAAAGCCCTAGGGAAGAAAAGAAATACACAGAAAATTAAACTCTAGGGCAGATAACCCTGAGACAATCACTCACAATGCTTATACCTACATGGGCACAGAGCTAAGAAGGCTCTCTCAAGTCTTAAGGAGTATTTCTTACTGATACCTTTTTTTATGGGTAATGTGCTTCTTTGTTAATACACATTTCCAATGTTTCTTGGGTTATCCTGCTGCTGAAAACAGCTAAGATCAGATTAGTTGCTCCAAGAACCTGACAATGCCTCGATTAAGAGATGGGAGTGAGAAGGTAGCAACTCTCTTCTTTAAACTGGAGTCAACTGTGGCTAAAACCATACCCTAGAAATACCTCTAAAGCAGCGGTTTGCAACTAGAGGCAATACTGCCCTGCCATGGTCATTTGGCAATGTTTGAAGACATTTTTTACTGTCACAACTCTGGGAATATAACTGGTATCTAGTGGGCAGAGGCTAGGGATGCTGTTAAACATCCTACAGTATTCAGAGCAGTCCCTCACAACAATTATCCAGCCCAAAATGACCACAGTGCTTAATTTGAGAAACACTGCCCTAGCAATAAAAGCAACTAGTAAAGGTTACAAATCAAATCCATCATCTCTTTTTCTGATCTTCAACTCTACACATGTAATTTAAAAAAAAAAATAAAGTCAAGGAAAAAGAGAGGCTTCGTCTATTTGTTCAATCGAATTATAGCTTACTCAATGGGTATCTCTGAAGTAACATATTCCTTAATGAGGTTATCTAATTTATTTGCCATGTAGTTGGCTGTGTAATAAATTTAATTTCTATCTATTAGTTATCAGCCCATCAGTCCTGGCCTATAAGGTGGAAAGTCCATCTAGAATATACAGCTATGACTATACCCTAAATGATCTCTCAGCAGCTGTAGATATATTACCTCCTTGCTCTTTATTGTAAGATGAGACTTAACGAAAAATGGTACTCTAACTTCCCTAAATTTTAATACATTCAAGATACAACTTACTATCACTGCTATAAGGACAACAAGTAATTATTTATAGTAATGTAATCCCAGTCTAACAGGGCTTAGCCACAGAACGAAAGCAAAGTAGTATAGATAATGGTAGAGAAATCCATAACTGGCATGTAAATGGGCAAGATTTATTAATAATATCCTCATTCCCATTCCACATTCACCAAATAATTATGACTAACACAACCCATTGGATTAATAACATGTTAGATGTTTTTAATCTTACTGAGACTGTGTTATGTTTCATATCCAAACCTTTTAAATAATAATTAGTAGTATAACTGTTATTGAATTCCTATTACATAACACATAAGAGCTATGTGCTTTGCATTCTTTCCAGCTAAAAAAAAAAGTTCATAAGAATCCTAGTGAGGAATAGAGCTGGCATCAGAACCAAGCCCTATGTCAAGGCTTCTAATACTCCATACAAATAGAAATGTAAAGAAAAAGACTTCATAAAGAAACGTAGGAGACAGTCACAAAGCCATTACCAATATAACAGCTTAAGTAAGCCTAACAATTTTCATCATATCATCATCAAACAATTGCTTATTCGAAGAAAATATCGTCAGAAGGAAAAAAGCTACTGGATCCAGAATTTCAGTTTCATACACACATACCTAAACAGAGTCAAAACAAGTGAAACAGGATGCTTGGTGAGTCCAGTTATTAGTCAGGAGAAATGAATTTTGAACCAAGCTCTCAATTACCTGGCTGCCATCTTCTTGTGCCTTTCGGATCATGTTTTGTCGTGAGTCAATCCAATAGAGTTGCTTGTCCAGTGGGTCATAGTCAATGGCCCGGACATTCCGAAGGCTGTGGATGGGAAGGATGATGTCAGGGCTCTGTTGTTCATCAATCACCATGCGGTTGATGGCACTCTTTTGACTGAAGAGCAGGAAAGTGGTAGGAGCTTAAAAGTAAGAAAAGAGAAAATCTGAAATCTAGTTACTCTACATCCATCCTCTATCATCCAATGATTTGATCAGCCTGTTGTATATATTTCACATAAAACAGACATAGATGTTGAAGACCTAAGGCTGAGGACAGAATTCTTTGGCATGCCCTCAAAAACTCTCTTCAGAGTAACACTAATCAGCACTCTGGTTACCAAATCAGTTATGAATTTTACCTAATGACACAGCCACCTACCCTATTTTTCTCCATTTTGTCCACAGAGATACCACAGAAAACTTTATTTCCATGAGGCATTTGATAAAAATTTACAAAATTCTCCTGGTCTACCAAGTGAATAACCCTTAACCTATTCTGTCTGGTGGGTGGCAGGAAGCCTGGGCTTGCCTAAGTTAAAGCAGAAACTTACAGACGGATTTTACATGTGACAGGGCAAGACCCATCTCAAGGGAAAAAAAAAGAACGCTGATATTAGTCTCAGCCTTCTCATTTGATCTTAAGTAAGTCGCTGAGCCTCTCTAGGCCAAAGTTTACTCAGCAATAAAATAAAGGTTATAGCCATATTGTCCCTCTCACTGAATTACTATGAGAATTTTACAACATATATGAAAATACTTTAAAAACTGTAAGGCACTATATAAATGTAAATTTTTAATATATTTTTAATCACTTAAAATTTTTATAAAAACTTAATAGAGATGGTGTCTCGCTATGTTGCCCAGGCTGGCCTCAAACTCCTGGGCTCAAGCAATCCTCCCACCTGGGCCTCCCAAACTGCTAGGATTATAGGCAGAGCCACTGCACCCAGCCATAAATTTAAAATAACTATTGTTTATTACCACTAGCAGCAGTAATAAACTTGGTAATAACAGGCATTAAACCCTCACAGATTGCAGATATTATTTTCTTTTGTATGTGATGACAGCATGGAAAGGGAGACGATAAAACTTACAAAAACGAATAATAGAAGCCTTATGATATAGTTTGACTGTGTCCCCACCCAAATCTCAACTTGAATTGTACTCCCACAATTCCCACATGTTGTGGGACGGACACAGGAGAGGTAACTGAATCATGGGGCTGATCTTTCCCGTGCTATTCTCATGATAGTGAATAAGTCTCACAAGATCTGATGGGTTTAATCAGGGGTTTCCACTTTTGCTTCTTTTTCAATTGTCTCTTGCTGCTAGGTAAGAAGTGCCTTTTGCCTCCCACCATGATTCTGAGGCATCCCCAGCCATGTGGAACTGTAAGTCCAATTAAACCTCTTTTTCTTCCCAGTTTCAGGTATGTTTTTATCAACAGCATGAAAATAAACGAATACACTTTATATTCATTATTTCTAATCCTCATAAAATCTTTATATTTTCACTAAAGAATATTCTTTGTAGGCCAGGCGCGGTGGCTCACACCTGTAATCCTAGCACTTTGGGAGGCCAAGGTAGGTGGATCACGAACTCAGGAATTCCAGATCAGCCTGGCCAATATGGTGAAATCCCGTCTCTACTAAAAATACAAAAATTAGCCAGGTATGGTGGTGATCAGCTGTAATCCCAGCTACTTGGGAGGCTGAGGCAGGAGAATCACTTGAACCTGGGAAGTGGAGATTGCAGTAAGCTGAGATTGCGCCATTGCACTACAGCTTGGGCAACAGTGCAACACTCCATCTCAAAAACAAAACAAAACAAAATATATTCTGTGTTGATGCCCTAAATTCACAAAATGGGAAAATGCAACAAAGAGCACATTTTCCTTTCTCAGGGACTAGTCCTCTTATTACTATGCAGTCATCTTTAATACTGGAAAACATCTAGAAAAGAATGACTTTTGAGAGACTACCAACAACTTCAAAGTCTAATGTCATTTTTTAAATCTTCATTGAAATATTTTTATACATTTCATAATTATACTCTATTTTCTTGGTGCTCAGTCATCACCTAAATCCAGGAGAATTTTGTCCTTCTGAGGAATATTAAACATATATAGCCAAGTCAGGACTCCTTGCTTTATTTCCTCCTATTCCCCATTCTTCACAGCTTCATTATTTGTGGTCTCTCAGCTTATTTTAACTTTACACTCAAATGAATACTGGCTTAAATCCCAAAGGAGCTCAGTAGTCACAAAGAAACTTGGTATTTATAAAACTGCAATTCTGATTTATTTAAGTTCTTCATTAGCTAAAAAGCCACACTTAGCTTGGAAGATTTAGAAAGTTATCCCAATGATCCTACTAGAAATTTCCATTATCTGGAGTCCCTTATATTTATACATTGATTTAACAACTTTTAGCAATTTTTATAGAGTCCATGCTTCAAATAGTAAGAACGCATCAGAGAATAGCTAAAAAAATTCCCACTATTGTTTTTATTTTAAAAGAATTATATTTTGGCAGTACTACTTTCTTAGTAAATCAAGAAAAAAATTTTTTAAGATTCTAAATTGGCTGGAAGCAGTGGCTCATGCCTATAATACTAGTCCTTTGGGAGGCTGAGGCAGTAGGATCACTTGAGGCTGGGAGTTCAAGACCAGCCTAAACAACATAGCAAGAACCCCTTGTGTTTAAAAGACTTAGAAAAAAGACCCCAGAGTTTTAGTTCCCAAATTTTCTTGCCTGGGAAGCAATTAATCAAATATATATTTGGCTCCTAGTATATTTTGCTGGGTACTCTCTTTTCCAAGTAAAATTTTAACCTTCAATAAGATTCCACAATTAGGTGTAGATCTTGTTGTTTTAGAAATGTGGATTAAGATAAAGGCCACATGTGGTTCCAAATAAATGCTTGTTCCAAAAAGTCTACTCAAATATATTAAAAATTATATATTAACTGTTTATTTCTAAGAGCCAGCTAATATTCTGACTTATTTTCAAGTCAGTATGTGCTTAAAATGACAGAGAATAAGCCATTTTAAAAGCCTAAATCCACCCTATCAAATTTATGTCAACTCTAACCACCTCTCCCACATTTCCCTCAGAATGGTGCTTTAATAATAACCTCATGTGGTTGTCTCAGTCCCGCCTTCCCAAAATGAAGACAGCAAAGGACCTGGAGGATGAAATGTATGTATGAGGGAGCTTTTCAATTCTCTTCTGAATGCGTATGTGTTCACCTGTAGTAAGAATAAACTATAAGGCCAAGCCCAACATGTATGACTGTGCCATTTGTGCAGTGGGCCAGGGGCATCAAGTAGGAACTGAAATCCAGTCCACACTTCCTTAGCCATGTCATGTACCTACAGGGCTAAATCTGCCCAGAGGAAACATCTTTTTCCAGTTTGCACAAAGGTGTCACAGAGACCACTTCAGTACTGAACAAAGGATTACACAATTTGGCTTCCCATTTCCTCTCTGATCTAATCTCTTCACTTCATTTCAGCAACATTAGCTTCCTAGGTGTTCCTCTAACATGTTGGACATCTTCCCCCAAGACCTTTTTGCATTTACTACCCGCTTTTGCTTGAGAGGTCTTTTCCCTCCACATAGCTCATTTCCTCACTTCCTTCAGTTCTTGACATGTCACTTTTTCAGTAAGAACTTCCCTAATCACCCTACTTAACACTGCAGTCCCTACCACTATCACCCTTTCTTGCTCTTTAGATTTCTTCATTATACTTATTGCCACCTAATCCCTGATATAATTTATTCAGTTTGTTATCTGTCCCATTGAATTTCACTCACTGCTATATTTTCCAATGGATGAAGTAATGTCCAGCATGTAATAGGTGTTCAATGCTCATCACACTAATGTATAAAGAAAGAAGCAACAGAGCCTAGTGCAGTGGTATGGGCTCGTAGTTCCAGCAACTAGGGAGACTGACGTAGAAGGACTGCTTGAGCCCAGGAGTTCAAGTCCAACCTGGGCAACACAGTAAAACCTGACCTCTTAAAAAGAGGGGAAAAAAAGCCAGAGAGAAGCAATGAGTGACATACACTTGTAGCTATGACTTTTAAAGTAAGAGAATAAAATTATTTGAGACAAGGGAAGGAAAAGAAATAAAAACTTATTTAGGACCTCCAATATATTACATATCATACTAAATGTTATTTAATCCACGAAATTATTATCTCTATTTGATAGGTGAATGCACTAAGGATCAGAAAGGTTAGGTTGGCGCGGTGGCTTATGCCTGTAATCCCAACACTTTGAGAGGCCAACGCAAGTGGATCACCTGAGGTCAGGAGTTTAAGACCAGCCTGACCAACATGGTGAAATCCCCTCTCCACTAAAAATACAAAAGAATTAGCCAGGCACCCTGGTGCACGCTTGTAATCCCAACTACTCAGAAGGTTGAGACAGGAGAATTGACTGAACCTGGGAGATAGAGGTTGCAGTGAGCCAAGATAGTACCACCTTACTCCAGCCTGGGTGACAGAGTGAGACTCTCAAATAAAAAAAAAAGAAAGAAAGAAAAAAAAAGAAAAAGAAAAAAGAAATATTAAATAATTTTTCCAAGGTCACAAAGCTGTTGGGTAAAACAGCATATGTGTTTTCCCAGGTCTTGCCTTGCTTCTTCATTCATTTACTTAACAATAATTTCTTGAGTGTCTACCACGTACTAAGTGTTATTCTAACGCATGTTAAGATACGTCAACGAAGAAAACAGAAAAAAAATTGTTGCTTCATGGAGTTTATATTCCAACAGACAGACAATAAGCAATAAATATAGTAAAGATGGGAGTTATCTAAATAGTAGAGTGTATAAATTACATAATATATAAAAGGGTGAAAGTGCTATGGGAAAAAGAAAAAGTACACATAAGGGGCACTGGCAATGCTGGATAGGATGGCAGCATAATTTTAGTTTTAAATATTTAAATATATCTGTTTAATTTTAATTTTAAACAGATCAGGTGTCACTATGATGGAAACAATTAAGCAAAGACTTAAGAGGTGAGGGCTACCCGTGTAAATATATGCAAGAACACTCCAAGCTGAGGAAACAAGGAGTGTAACAGGCATGAGGTGGGGGTACCTAGCCTATCTAAAACCAGCAATGAGACCATTGTGGCTGTCATGAAGAAAGCAAGGGAGACAAGAGTAAAAGCTGAGGTTAGAGAAGAAAACTGAGTGGTAGGGCATAAGAGTGAAGAGGGGTTATGAAATGTGGGGTGTAGGTCATTAGGACCCAGCAGGCCATTGTAAGACCTGGGTTTTTATTCTGTGTGAAATGGAGAGCCATTGTAAGGTTTTTAAGCACAGAAACATGATCTGATTTACCTTTTATAACAGGTCAAGGAGTAAATTACACAATGTTAGAAAAATTTTAAGGGCAAGTGTTTTGTGTTAAACTTTTAAAATATGTCTTGGAATCGAATACATCTTTATAAATATAAGTACTCATTATAAAAAATAAGAAGCCTCTTGAAACACTGCTGATGTATCTCAGAAATGCAGCTAACAGACAAGATATTAGGGACACTCAGCAGTAATTTCTCTAATCAACAAGCACGGGTGTAAGCAGCTAAGACAGTAATCTCAAACAGTCGTTCTGTATTCTTTTACCTCCTTCCTCCATTATTACCTCATTTTCTCCTTCCATTCAAAGCCAACCTTCTCAAAAGAGATATTTATATATGTCACTGTCCTTTCCTTTTTTCCGTTCACGTTTTAATCTACGGCATTCTGCATTTCACCATTACTTCCCTGAAATTAGTCTCTTGAGGGTTGCTAATAACCACCTTACCCAAAAAATCCAATGCATACTATTTTAGACCTCCCCTGACTCAACTTCACAGCATTCAATAGAGTTCATTTTTGAAACAACCTTATCTCTGTCTTCCATGCCTCTATTTTCTCCTGCTTTTCCTCTTACCTCTCTGGTTGCTACTGCTCAGTGTTCTTTGTGAACATCCCCTCCTCTACCAGAGTCACACAGTTTACCAACTGCCTTCTTTTCTCTCCATCATGGGGAGTTATGGCCTGATGGGGGTTATGGCCCACAAGTCAAATCTGGCCTGCTGCCTGTTTCTGCAATAAAGTTTTACTAGAATTCAGCCACTTCCATTTTCAAAATGTACTGCCTAAGGCTGTTCTCACATTATCACGGTGAAAGCTGTGCAGAGTTCATGAGGTATGACAGCCTAAACACTCACAAAGCCTGAGAAAGTTGCTGGCTCTTGAACTGCACCTTCTCTTTAGGTAACCTCATTCATTTTAAATATATCCTGGCAATTCCAAATTTAGTATCTCCAACCACATGTCTCTTCTCTGATTATTGTCCATCATCTATGACACATAATAGAGGTCATCCTTGCTTCCTCCCTTTCTTTCCCACATGGAACTCATTAGTAACTTCTGCTTGCTCCAGCTTCAAAATATATCTTGAATCCATCCACTTCTCTTCATCAACAAACATGCTGCTGCCACCACTATTGTCCAGGTCTACCTGCGTTACCACACTGGTCTAACTGACTTCCCTGATACTGGTTTTTCTGCCCAGAAATTCAGATCATGTATCACCTTTAATCTTCACAACAACTACACAGCAGTTACTATTATTATTCCAATTTTACCAATAAGAAACAATTAAGGCTTAAAGAATCTATTAATTTGTGTAAAGCGAAAAGCTAATGTTTGGCAGAGATTCCAAAGTATAACCTCTTAATCATTATTACACTATATGCTTGTGTTCTTTCTCTTTCACAACTGAAGTTGGTATCAGAATAGACCAAATTTTTCCTATGGGATTTCTGACACATTCTCTCAAGGACAAAAGAAAGTCATGTCGATAGTTAATTATTTTGAATATCCTTAGCAGTTTGTTATTTCCACTATATTGACCTACACCCTACCTCTCCCATAATCTACTCTCTCTGATCTAATCTACTTATTTCTTAATCATATCTACCAATTTGTTCTTGTCTATCCACCAAGAAATAGGCCTTCAAATATATATTTAAGTTATAAACCAGGTTTCCCCTAGCCGACAATGTTTTATTACATACTTTGTTGTTAGTGTGTGTGTGTGTACTTGCCAGTATTTAAAAATCAGGAGATGAGGGAGTCACACAAAAAAAAATCTAGATTCAGAACTGAATAAAAAGATCTGATAACAGCTTCATTTAAATTGCAACTGCCTACTATGTTCATAGCATGTTCTCTTTAGTTTCCTATCAACTATTACTTTATACTGGGTCACATGCTCTCATACGCATTTTCTGTATGGCCTGTTCAACATTTAAAGTTTTTATGATTGTCCTACTCTATGCACTTCAAAGGACAAGTAAGTTGTGTTTTAGGATTCTCTGTTTTACTGTTTGTACTGCTCTTCCCTTCCTTTATGATGCTTGACACTATGCAAATTTTACACTTAACATTTAACATCCAAGTTGTAAAAGACTTAATTTTTCCTTTTTTTAATGAAAGAGTCTCTCTATGTCACCCAGGCTGGAGTGTAGTGATGTGATCACGGCTCACTGCAGCCTCAATCTCCTGGGACCAAGTGATGCTCTCACCTCACCCTCCTGAGCAGGTGAGACTGCGGGTGTGCACCACCACCTTGGCTAATTTATTTTTTGTAGAGACAGGTCTTGCTATATTGCCTAGGCTGGTCTTGAACTCCTGAGCTTATGCAACCCTCCCACCTTAACCTCCCAAAGTTTTGGGATTATGGACGTAAGACAATGTACCAGCCTAAGACTTAATTTTTCTATAACGTCAAATTGCTATCATCAAACAAGTAGTAAGTAACAAAAACTTGCATTCCCCATCATTTAATTAAACAAATAACCCCTTCTGGATTTCCAAAATGTTTTACTTTAGAAAGAACATACACTAAAGTACTTTGAAAATGTTGCTTTCTTTAATTCTAGCTTGCTTTGGAGGGAAATGCAGCTTACCACTACAAGTCTTGTTGTCAGCATTAAGAGAGTAGTGGGCAGGGCATCCACAAACAAAACCCCCAACTGGCACAGCCAAGCAGAGGTGGGAGCAGTGCCCATTGCTGGAAGCACATTCATTCCACCCTGACTGCCGAGAGGAGTGAAAGACGAGGATGTCCATCACATAATCCAAATGGCCCTGAATGATGGTGCGGTTTTGGCCACTGGTTTTGTTGGCACGCTCAATGCTGCGTCGGCTCCAGTCTGTCCAGTAGATATAATCTTGGTACTGAGTTAAGCCAAAAGGATGAGGCAAGTCATCTGCTATAACTTCACGGTTAAGTCCTATTTTCGGAAAGGCAGTAGACAGGGAGAAGCAATGGGATAAAACGTGAGAATACAAGTGTCTTGTAGTCATAAAAAAAAAAAAAAAAAAAAATCTAACATAAAACATGTTTGTAAGCAATTTAAAATAGAATAATGCATTTAAAAGCAATTCTAAAAACAAACCAGTTCTCTGAAATCAATCCATGTACAGTCTGACCCCATGCTTCAAACTGATATTTCTGCTATGAATCACTAGGATTCCTAAAATTCTTGCAAGTGGTCTACTTTAAATGTGATTTTATTTTCTCTGTGTAAGGGTCTACAGTTCATTTTTCCTTCTTGAATTATAGGGAAAAAGATGAAAATATACATATTTTACTGGTACAAAAAGTCCTTTCAGGGGTATCCAGGGAGTTAAAAATTTCATTACAAGCCCGATAATAATGAAACTTTCACATAATAAAGAGATGAATCCAAGTACCTGGATCACTATTAATAACAGCAAACAGAATACAATTCCAAAACAGAAGAAGAATGGACACATTCACATGAAGTTGTATTCAAAGTATCTAACCAATGATAAACAGCAGCCAAAAATTTTTACATAGAAAGAATATACTGTCTGTCTGAGTAAATAGTAGTAAAGCTTACCAAGCATATTTGAAGATTCTATTAAGTTGGTGTCCAGGTCTGTCCAATAAAGCCTCCTTTTAGCATAATCAATAGTCAGGCCATTTGCCCGCCCCACATTTGGAACTAAGGTAGTACGTTCACTTCCATCCATTGCAGCTCTGTCTATCTTAGGTTTTCCACCCCATTCAGTCCAATACATAAATCTAAATTCAAAACAATAGATATTTAACATTTCATTTTTTTTATTATCTGGGGGAAAGGTCATATTCATGCATAGTAACTAAATTTAAAGAAAACATATGGCAAATCAAGGAAATGGGTAAAACAAAATCATGGCTACAATGCTTTCAATTATTTTGGCACCCTAAACTAAGTATTCTTCTCCATATCCCAAAAAGGAAGTGAGTCAGCTTTCCTTGGTCTTTCCAATAAATTTGTTCCATCCAAACTTAGGAACTGGAAATAAACCAACAGTTTATTGCAGCACTGGCATTTATAAAACTAGTATTCAAAAAAACAGCAAAAGTTTAAAGCTCCCTCTGGTCTCAGACTCTTGTTCACTTCTGAGTAAAATATTTTTATGTATTTCTGAATATTAGGTAATTTGAGTTTTCAATATGCTGAACTTACTTTTTGACTTGTATAATCAACTATTCCTCAAAATAAGCTGCAGAAGTACATAAAAGGTACGTATAAATACTAAGTCTTTAACTGAAGTCAAAAGCAAAGCTCGAAAATGTATTTGGTTATACTGTCCAAGGGAGCATACTATATGGTAAGAACAACAAATCATCGCCTGATGTGTCCACTACCACTATAATCTCTGAAATTTTAGAATAATTATTTTGCTTTTATTTTCCTTTATTGAGTTTTGTACTTTAATCTTACAGCAATCCTACAGTACAGGATTTTTTATAGATGAAGAGGCCAAAACGGTACAGGCTTTTTTCATAGATGAAGAGGCCAAAACACTACAAGAAATGTGAACGATTTATCTAATGTCTTCAAGCCAGTTACATGACAGAGCTAGAACTAGAACCTAATCCTTGGCCAAACGCCCTTTCAAGTATGAGGTGCTAGTTTTTGAGACTCTTGAATACTGGAACTAAAAAAGCACTTCACAGGCCGGGCGCGGTGGCTCACGCTTGTAATCCCAGCACTTTGGGAGGCTGAGGCGGGTGGATCATGAGGTCAAGAGATCGAGACCATCCTGGTCAACATAGTGAAACCCCGTCTCTACTAAAAATACAAAAATTAGCTGGGCATGGTGGCGCATGCCTGTAGTCCCAGCTACTTGGGAGGCTGAGGCAGAAGAATTGCTTGAACCTGGGAGGCGGAGGTTGCGGTGAGCCGAGATCGCGCCATTGCACTCCAGCCTGGGTAACAAGAGCAAAACTCCGTCTCAAAAAAAAAAAAAAAAAAGCACTTCACGTGCCAGCTCTCACGAAATACCTGAGGACAGACATTCACTCATCAGCCTGTCAGCTGATGGCTGACTTGGTGGTAACAATGTATGAACATGCTTTTCTGAAAACTGAAGGTATCCTGGCTTTATATCCATTTCCACTTGTCAGCTGACAGGCATGTGCATACCACAAAAGCCAAAGAGAAACAACCGTGAGAAAATTTCATACTTGCCAGCACCAACCAATACTAGAGTCTTTAGTCCTAACTATTAGATTTATCTGTCTGGCAGCTAATGTTAGAGCAAAAATCACCACAATCTATGTCAGTGCAGAAAAGCTGTCTTTGATAATGGCCTTCTAACTAGATGAATTACTAGCTAATAATGGAATCAATGTGATTTCAGGGAAACTATTTTAAATTACAAATATAGTAAACGTATTTATACATATACACTGTTGACTTTTTTTTTTTAAGGTGGAGTCTTGCTCTGTCGCCCAGGCTGGAGGGCAGTGGCATGATCTCGGCTCACTGCAACCTCTGCCTCTTGGGTTCAAGCAATTCTCCTGCCTCAGCCTCCCAAGTAGCTGGGGCTACAGGCACATGCCACCATACCTGGCTAATTTTTTTGTATTTTTTGTAGATACGGGGTTTCTTTGTGTTGGCCAGGCTGGTCTCAAACTCCTGACCTTGTGATCCACCTGCCTTGGCCTCCCAAAGTGTTGGTATGAGCCACCACGCCCGGCCTGTTGACTTCTTTTAAAAGTGGAATGTTTCCTCGAATTTCAGATTTCTTAACTGCTGGCTTTAAAAAATTTGCTGACTCTTGTAAGAAGGAACACCCACCCTTGGAAAACGTCATGCTGTAAACAGTTTAGTCTATCTTGTAATACCAAAGCTACTGCCAGTTTATAATATGATCAAACTAAACTATTCATCTTGAATTAATAAACACTCCAAAATAAAGCTTTTTAAATGTAGTTTTTTCTTAGCTCATAATATTTGTTTCCGCGGGTTTACTTCAACAGGTTTGGAATCTAGCATAACTGGGAAAAAGTGCAAGCAACTATAGATGGATAATACCTGTTGGTACATATACCTAACATATCAATATATTTGTCAGTTACATGTGATTATTAATCCATTCCCCTCTTTCTTCATCTAAAGTTAATTATGACAAAAGTAAAATTAGCTACTAATTATTCAAATCAGCAAAATCTCAATTAATGATTTTTTTAAAAGTTCATCTATCATTTAGTTGTCAGATTCCTAATAAGTATAAAGACACTAAGATATCATCTATAACTATACCATGTTCCCCAAAATGTACATTGTAGTTGCAAAGAATGCACACGTAAAGCTGTTTACCCTTCAGCAGGGTCCAATGCTAGAGCTCTGGGACTATCTAGGTCTTTCCACACCAAAACTTGTCGGTGCTGCCCATCCAACTTTGACACCTCAATTCGATTTGTTCCTGTGTCTGCCCAGTACAAGTTCTTCCCAAGCCAGTCTACTGCCATGCCTTCTGGATAATCCAAGCCGAACTCTACCACGTGTTCCAGAGCACTGCCATTCATAAAGGCTCTGCTGATGGTCTGCAAAATACAATGAACAACTAAGTCATACGGCGTAAGTTTAAACTCTATCCAGAAAGAAGGTTTGGTTTGGTTTTTGTCAGGGGCAAGAGGATCCAGAAGGGCCAAGAGTCATTGTATTTCCTAATAAAATTCACATAACTTGAAAGTACAAAAAAATCTGATGTCAATCTCTGAGAAATGCAACTTCAAGTTTTATTGCCAATTCAGGGGAAATTTTTATAATACTAAAGAATAAAAAATTTGGTTCTAATAGCAGAATCACTTTTAAAATTTATCAGTAATCAAGTGGAAAGCTGTGACCACAATGCTACAGATCCTACCTACTAGTCAATTTTCTAAAGGTGCTTAAGATATGCCAATTCATAATCCCTACCATATAAACTGTTATCATACTACCACTATAGCTCTGAATCCCATAAAATTTTAAAAAATAATATTTGAAACTAATCATAGATACTACATCTTATAAAGTACTATCCTAAGTACTTTGTGTCCATAGATTTTCTCATTTAATACAATAGTCCTGCAAGTATGGCATTACCCCTATTTTTTTTTTTTTTTTTTTTTTGAGATGGAGTCTCACTCTGTCACACAGGCTAGACTGCAGTGTCATGATCTTGGTTCACTGTAACCTCCACCTTCCAGGTTCAAGTGATCCTTGTGCCTGAGTCTCCTGAGTAGCTGGGATTACAGGTGTGCACCACCACACCCAGCTAATTTTTGCATTTTTAGTAGAGACAGGATTTCGTCATGTTGGCGAGGCTCGTCTCAAACTCCTGACCTCAGGCGATCCTCCTGCCTCAGCCTACCAAAGTGCTGGGATTACAGGTATAAGCCAACTCCCTGGCCACCCCCCTATTTTCAAGATGAGGAAATTTAGAAGATCACCTGATGCAAACCAAGACTGATTTCATTTATTCATTTAATAAATTTAACTGAACACCATTAGAATCCAACTCTGACTCCAAAACCCCACGTTTTTGCATATTACAAAAAAGTTCACACAAGTTATCTGAAACAAGACCTAAACAATCTGGAAGAAGAAGATTATTCTTCAGATTTATAGGTCTAGAGCTTCCTCTCTCTGACCATCCTGGTATTCTTTTCAGTAACTATTCTAGGAAGAAGAAAATAAAGAATAACTCATTATAGGCCTTTTCCGCCTCAGTCAGGCCCTAAAACTTTGTTTAAAGTAAATCAAGACTTTTTGTTTAAAGTAAATCAATAGCCATTTTATGTGAATAACACATTTTCTTACTCAGCTACTTGCAGAAAATGTCATTCATCATTTTCAAATGGAAGAAAGTAGAGGAAGACTATGGCTTGTGGTTTAACAAACTCTGGCAAAGTATCTTGTACTAAAAAGCATCTAATAAAATACTGAATGGGCCTTTCCCTTCACTTAAAAACTTAAGGGTTTTGGCCTGGGCATGGTGGCTCACGCCTGTAAACCCAGCACTTTGGGAGGCCAAGGTAGGTGGATTACAAGGTCAGGTGTTCGAGACAAGCCTGGCCAGTATGGTGAAACTCTGTCTCTACTAAAAATACAAAAATTAGCTGAGCATGGTGGCACATGCCTGCTAGTTCTAGCTACATAGGAAGCTGAGGCAGGAGAATCACTTGAACCTGGGAGGCGGAGGTTGCAGTGTGCCGATATCATGCCACTGCACTCTGGCCTGGGCAACAGAGCAAGACTCCATCTCAAAAAAAAAATTAACAAACAAACAAACAAACAACACACACACACACACACACACACACACACACACAAAAAAAAAAAAACTTAAAGGTTTTTGGTGAACTCTGCCTGTCAAGCAATGAGGGAAGCAGATCATGGCATGAAGATTCAGAAATTCTAGAAGTTCTCCCTTTTGGTCCCTAGATTTAATATTACAATTCTTTTGCTAACCTTAAGTGATATATCAGTCCAGTAAATTCGGTTGTCTGTCACATCAAAATCCAAAGCAGAAGCTTCCTTGACACCAGTGAGTGGAATAGCCACATTATTATTGTTTGTTTCCAAAGAAATTCGTCTGATATCTGCTCTCCGTGAAAACAAAAGGAAAGCCTCTGGGACAATGCAGGTCTTCATGTCACTGATGAGTTCAAAGCCAATAGGGCAAGCACAGCGAAGGCCCTGAGGTCTATAGAGGCAGAGATGACTACATCCCCCATTTTCCTCCGCGCAGGGGTTGGAACCTAAAAGATTAATTATAAAAGGGCATAGAAGAACACACACATTGACACATTCAACATATTTTCACTTTTAAATTACTGAGTGTACAGTTCACAAATGCCTATGATTATGTCTGCTCCCAATCTCAAGTTTCAATTCTAATGTCACAAACAAGCAATATACAGATTAACAGGGAGTAAAAGCATGGTGGAATATTTTCCTTTTATATCCATAGCAAGCTTTAAAATAAGGTACATTATTCATACAATCGGACTGAATTCTTTTGATGAAGGTATGCATGTGCCTGTGCATGTGGATTGAGCCCTTCAATTCAAATTAGGTAACCAGAGTAGTAAATCAACATTTAAAAGGTCCCTTCTCAATTCAAAAGAAAAAAAAAAAGGAGGGGAGTTTCTAAATTGCCACAAAACATCAATAATCTACACTGCTGACTATCTCCATCTTTTTCCAACCCTGGTTTCCATTACTAAGAAAGCTTTGGAATTACTTACCAATCACTCGATGAACATTTGTGGCCTTTAGGCCCATGAGGTCAGGCAGCTGATCTATGATAACTTCCCTCTCTGCACTTCGTTTATGTACTCTTTCAATGCTACGCCTCTGCCAGTCAGTCCAGTAAACGTAGTCACCCAATAAAGTAAATCCAAATATGTGAGGAATTTTGTCTTCCACTAATACTCGTCTCCCGGTGCCATCAGTATTTATAACCTTCAGGTTTAAATTCAAAAGAGAAGAGGATGAAGTATATATTTATTCTTCATGTAAAAATGACAAATCCAACTACCTGTTGCATAAAAATCCAAGAGTTATCTTTGTATTCCTATTACAATGCTTTCTCAAAATTACAACACGATGATTTCATAAAAATGATTTCAAATATTCCGTATGAGCCTCTATATTTGACCACTTCCCACCCACCCCCTCAAATTTCATATTTCTCTTCCTTCCAAAAATTCTGGCGCCTTTAGATTATGCAACTCTTCTATTAAATAACTGTGGCAAAATTAAAAATACAGTATCATCACCTTAAGTTTGCACGTTTTCAAACTATAATAGTACCTTCACATATATTATTTTATCATATATTTTGTTTTATAACATATTTTATTTTATCCTGAGAGCTTGGCCTATGGAAACTGAGATTTATGTAAGGACACACAGCTTATAAACAGAGTTGATGTCTTTTTCAGGACTCTTTTCACTTAGCATGCTTTTTATTTTGCTGTTGTCAGTAATAGCAAAAAACAGATAAAAGGGATCTTAATAAATCTCTCACTCCAGAGATTACAATCACAAAAGTATGTGGATTATATGACACCCTCTCTGCATCTAACGAGGATGCACATTCTCTTTCCAACTACTTCATATTGGTAGTTGGACATTATTAAATTCACTCTGGCATTCATATTGCATTCACAGTGCATTCACCACACACTATTCAGTGTTGACTTACTTGGAATACCTTTAGTGGCATAATATAACTAATATTTGCATATAAGATTACATCTGATACCTTTTGGGGATGGGTAGGAGCAGATATTGTTCACATGTACATGTTTTTAGTATGAAATAACATTTCTAAAGGTTAATTTGCCTAGCACACAGGCCACTTTAAGTGGCAGAAATGGTCTCAGGTGAGGATTTGAACAGTGGGACTTTGGAAGCCTTGCTCCATATTTCAGAACAGAAGAAGGTCTTCTCAGTATCTATTGCAGCATTTCCAACTGCATCTCCAGGAACATGTACTGCTACCTAATTTAAAATGTCATATACTTAACAGCGAACCTATATTCTCCTAAAGCGGGCAGTTCAATCATCCTATCCAACACAGAGTGATACACATTCTGTATTATACAACACTAAAATATTACTTTCTTACAAGTTTGTGGTATGTTAAAATATGCCTGATTTGGTTTTATTCTTAGTTTTAGTTCTATCCTCTTTTGCATTATCTTACACTTAATAAATTACACTAATTTTGCTGATCCCTACATTCAAATGTTGGCCTTCCTATTAAAATTTGCTGATGTAAAAGTATAAACTAGATGCCCAAAATTAAACTTTTAAAGAATAACACTTACATTTCTACTTCAAAACTATTACAGAATCAACTAAGAAAATCTTCTCTCTTTCAGCTATATCACTCTACAACATTTTTGTTTATTTTGATAAATAGCTTAAACAAAAGATGGATTAAGGATGAATTAGAAAAATTGGGGGGGATGGTGGCTCATGCCTATAATCCCAGCACTTTGGAAGGCCAAGGTAGGAGGATTACTTGAGCCCAGGAGTTCAAGACCAGACTGCACAAAATGGCAAGGTCCTGTCTCTACAGAAAATACAAAAAAATTAGGCATGGTTGGATGAGTCTGTAGTCCTAGCTAGTCGGAGGCTAAGGTAGGTAGATTGCTTGAGTCTGGAAGTTTGAGCTGCAGTGAGCTATATGATCAAGTCACTGTACTCCAGCCTAGGTAACTCCAGCACAGGCAAACAATTTTTAAAAAGAAAGAAAAAGAAGAATGAAATTAAAAATCACTGTGAGAAAAATAAATGCCACAATTCCAAGACCTTTTTAGCTCACATAATTCTGCATCTTCTATTTAGCAGTTTTCCTTCATTCTTCTGTTCTCTAAAAATCTCTCATGATCATTAAATATACTGTGGCACAAACAGATCTGTATATCAAATATAAGGTTTATTACTCAGTGGGTACCCTTATAAGTTCTCACAAATAAAATAGAGACAGAGCCACTGCCACCACTGAATTAATGAAGGATCAAATAAAATAATGCTAAATATACAGCACCGTATTAGATATATAATAGTTGCACTATCTGGTAAACACGGGTTCCTGCCTTTTAAAATCATTTTATTAAAATGCTTTAGGTTCTAAATGTAAACAGCTAAATGATCCTATTTAATTATTTAATGTAGTGCTTCAAAATAAAAATACATAAATATAAAAGAATACATGGAAATAAAAGACCAAACTACTACTCACTATTAAACTGAAGATAAAAACCAAGAGACATTTATATATCCTGAAATTATGAGAAACTACACAGCTACAGCCTCCTGTTTCTTACTCCTATTTTCATTGTTTACTTTTGCTAGTCAGATATAAAGTAACTAAAACAGTCAACAGAAAAAAGCAAATATTTGACAGTTTCATAGGAGTACACTTTTGCTGCCCCAACAGACCCCTAATCCACTTCCCCGCAAATCAAACATTAGGAAAGACATCCAGTAAATGCAAACCACCATGACAGACATGATGAACACTGACAGGTTTAGAACAGGGCCTCTTCCAGCTAAGGTATTACCATCTAATTGGAGAGGTAAATGATATTTACATTAAAATCACACACATATAACCTCTCTCGTCTGAAAGTAATCAGGAAAAACTTGAGGAAATAGGAGGTGACATTAATCTTGAAGAATTAGAATTTTGACAAAGAGAAAGAGAAAAGGATTTTCCAGAATAAAAGAAATGATATGAGTTCAGGGATAGCAAAGCCAAGGATACACATAACGTGTTTGACTTTGAAAGAAATGCCTTGACTGAGGCAGAAGGAACACAAGGGGGACTCAAAGGATACAGCATCAAGCAGATACCACCCTATGGTAGGTATTAAATTCCAAGATAAGGAGAATTACAGAAAACAAGAAGCTTCTGAAAGCACTTTAAGAAGAGTGACACAATAAACATGTATTTCAGAAACATTTCATTTACCTCTGTCACTCTGTTTAGGTTGTGTGAAACAAATATTTTAAATGTAGAATTATGAAATAAATATAGAATTATGGTTAGCAAAATATTTTCAATTTCTTTGAGATGGCAAGAGAGGTCTGAAATCCCTTATCTGGAAGTCAGCATCAGTTCTATTCCTGAATTCAGACTGTGGTTTGTTTTTGTTTTTCAAGAAAGGTTAACACAATGCACATAGTATACCACCTCTACTTGAGTCCAGGGCAGCACTTTATTGCCAAACATGTTAATATTTCTGCAATAAAAGATGGCCAGGCATGGTGCCTCGCATATGTAATCTCAGCACTCTGGGAGACTGAGGTGGGCAGATTACCTGAGGTTAGGAGTTCGAGACCAGCCTGACAAACATGGTGAAACCCCATCTCTACTACAAAAACAAAAATTAGCCGGACATAGTGGCTAATGCCTGTAATCCCAGCAGCTACTCAGGAGGCTGAAGCAAGAGAATCGCTTGAACCTGGGAGGCAGTGGTTGCAGTGAGCCAAGATCACACCACTGCACTCCAGCCTGGGCGAAAAGAGCAAAATTCTATCTCAGGAAATAAATAAATTAATTAAAAAAATAAAAGTATGTCTGCAGTGTGGGATAATGACTACAAACAGTCTCACACTGGTTCAGGTCAGGATTTTCACCCAATGAATTAACAAAAGCAGCATTTGGTTTTCAGAGCTCTTTGGATTTCAGGATTACAGATAAAGGATTACAGACCAGAAATGCTTTGCTCATCTTCTCTTCAGTCCCTTGACAAAACTGGAGTTTGGATCAGTGTTAATGCTGCTCTAGATACAAACAAGGGTCTCAGGAAGAAGTGAGCAAAGGAAACACTGAAAAGAAAAAGGTCTTCAAAAACATTTGCTGAAATGACAACAAATGAAGACTGTGGTGAAAGTATAAGAAGGTCAATGAAGGTATTAACAATGAAGGTATTAAGAACAGCATAGTGGGCCATGCGCCGTGGCTTACACCTGTAATCCCAGCACTTTGGGAGGCCGAGGTGTGGAGATCGCCTGAGGTTAGGAGTTCAAGACCAGCCTGGCCAACATGGTAAAAACACCATCTCCACTAAAACTACAAAAATGAGCTGGGAGTGGTGGCACATACTTGTAGTCCCAGCTACCTGGGAGGCTGAGGCAGGAGAATCGCTTGAATCCTGAAAGGCAGAGGTTGCAGTGAGCCGAGATAGCACCACTGTATACCAGCCTAGACAACAGAATGAGACTCCATCTCATAAAACAAACAAACAACAACAACGAAAAAGAATGGTACAGTGGCGAGGAACTCCAAATAGTTCCTGAGAAGCCACAACTAATGATTTGGTTACCTGTACCCAATTGGGCACTAATCCCTTCTAACCATTCCTTGTTCTCTCACTCTAAAAGCAAAAACTAAAAGGCCTTTTTTTTTTGATAATGAAGTAAACACAAAAGCAAGATCTATCAATTCATGTCTATTTCAAATTAAGCAATGTAATTAAGATTTATTAAAGATTTTTTTTAAACCTCATTTTGTAAGCACACAGTTTCCTTTAATTCCCGATCTCCTTTTTCTCATCTGTGGAAGTTTTTACAATAGATTTGGATCTAAAACAGTGCTGTCCAGGAGAAGAATAACACAAGCCACAAATGTATGTCATATGTGTCCATTTAAAATTTTCTAGTAGTCATACTAAAAAATACAAAACACGCCAGGCGTGGTGGTTCACACCCAGCTAGTCAGGAGGTTGAAGCAGGAGTATCACTTGAACCCGGGAGGTGGAGGTTGCAGCAACCTGACACTGCACCACTGCACTCCAGTCTGGGTAAAAGAGTGAGACTCCATCTCAAAAACAGTACAGAACAGTAGACAGAATTTTAATACACTTTATTTAATCTAATACATCCAAAATTATTCTATCTCAACATGCAATCTATATTAACAATTTTATTAATGGCATCTATGG